AATTTTTGTACGGCACCCATGAGATAGTGGCGCCAGTCCTCTAAGGCAATCATGATGGCTAACAATTCTTTGTCGTAGATTTCATAGTTATGCTCTGTGGTGGAGAGTGATTTGGAGATAAAGGCAATGGGTCTCCACTTCCCATCGGTTTGTTCCTGGGACAATACGGCACCAATGGCACCTTCGCTGGCATCTGCCTCTACTCGGAACTTTCCTTCGTTATTTGGGATGGCTAGTACGACATTTTCTAAAAATTGTCATTTAATAGTTTCAAAGGCATCTTGTTGTGCCTTTCCCCATGTCCATGCTTCTTTCCAGTAAGTCGGGTTAGAGGTTTGACATGGTGACTATAGTGCCAAATGAATCGGCGGTAAAAATTGGCGAATCCCAAGAATGATTGTAATTCTTGTTTTTTAGTTGGCGTCAGGCCAGTCCAGGATTCCTGCAATTTTGACAGGGTCCATTTTAACGGATCCTTCGCTGATGATTACTCCTAGGTATTTGGTTTCTTCTACTTCGAATTCGCACTTCTCAGCCTTTAAGAAGAGTTTGTTTGTTCGGAGTATTTGCAGAACCTTCCGAACTACGGCTCGGTGTTCTGCTTTGGTTTTGGTGGCAATGAGTATGTCGTCCAGGTAGACGCTGACTAACCCCTGAGCTATTAGGTCTTTGAAGAGGTCATTCATCATCCATTGGAAGGTTGCGGGGGAGTTTGTGAGTCCGAAAAACATGACAAGGGGCTCATATAGGCCTCGATTAGGTACGGAAGGCTGCCTTCCATTCAGTCCCCCTTTTTGATACTGAACATTGTTGTATCCCCACCTCACATCTAGTTTTGTGTAGTACTTGGCGCCCCGCAACCTGTCCATTAGTTCTGATATGAGCAGGGAGTGGATATCGATTCTTAATGGTCATCTCATTAAGTTTGCAATAATCCTGAACAGGTCACAGCTTTCCATCCTTTTTCTTGACAAAAAAGAAAGGTGAGGCCATGGGGGATTTCGATGGTTGAATCCTTCCTGTGGACAAGTTTTTGTCTAGGAAGTTGTCGAGTTTGTCTTGTTCTTGGGGATTCAAGGGGTATACCTTGCAATCCAGGCTGGCGTTGGCATTGGGCACTAGCTCAATGGCATGGTCCCATGGTTTTCATGGGGGTAATTCGTCAAAATTTTCTTTGGCGAACACGTCTATGAAATCTCGGTAGATTTCAGGTACAATTTCTTCAAAAGTTTTTTCTTTTTTGGAGAGATGGGCCTGAGCGGCTAAACTGGTGGATTTAGTCCCCATGGCACATACATGGAATGCTTGTTCGAAATCTATTACTAGGATTTTATCCCCTTTTTCAACTTCAGTTCCCCACTGCTGGCTCAGGTCTTCATCGGGTAGTCGGAAGGGGATTTTCCGGCAATCACATCATGCAAGGGTGACTGTCCCGGTGTTCCAGTCGATCAGGGGGTTGTGGTGTTGTAGCCAATCGTGTCCTAGGAAGATTGGTGTGGTGCCTAGATCGACCATGGCCAACTCTATTCATTCAGTATGATCCCCGATTGCGAGGCAGACCTCAACGTAATCAGTGATGTCACCCCCCGTGTTTCGAGTTCCATTGGCATTATATACCGGTACTGGGTGTGCAGTGGTTTGGGTGGTGATCTGATGCTCCTTGACCCATGTTCAGTCGATAGCACTTCCTGTACATCTGCTGTCCACCAAGGCTTTAACAGGATGTTTAGTTAGGGTATCGTAGGTTTCTAGTTGAACGAAAATAACGATGTTCCGCCCCTTCCTCCCCCTGATATACTGTGGTGGTTGTTGAAGGTCGGCCATCCATTGGGCTTTGTGGCCAGTCTCTATCCACCTTTCATGAGGATGCTCTAGCAGAGTCTTTACTAGTTCGTCGGTTACTTCCTCGAGACGTCAAGGATGGACCCACTGTCATAAGTGGGCTTTGGCAGCATCCGGGGTAAGACGCATAGCCCTTCAAACCCATGCTGAGGTGTAGGGTTCCAGGTATTGTTGGTCCGAAGGGTACTCCTCTGATGAGTACTCGAGGTTTCCCTCTTTCGGCATCGGGGACTTCCCCTTGTCGCCGTTCGCTGCAGGTTTTGTGGCCCTTTGTGCTTCTGCAGTTACTGAGCTTCCTGCCTGTTCGCTTGCACTACTAAGGTCTTTTCCACTCGGGGATGGCCCGCACAGTCCGGATTTTTTAGAGTTCCGCAAACTCTGTTGGTAACTAAAATTGTCTTCATCGTCAGGAATTTCTGTTATAATTACCTTTTTAATTGCTTGGTTGCCTCGAGGGGAGAGCCGGCTCCCCGAGGACTTACTACCCAGAGACTCCTTGTCTCTGCCTCGAGCAGTATGGCTTTTGCCCTGCGAGGTCTTTGTTCTTGAAGGGTCCTCACCCTTGTCCTTTACCCTGATGGGTAGATTGGTAACCCGTCGTGGATGCACACATGTCGGCTCGTCAGGGCGTTCTGTAGGTTTCCCCTGATTCCTCGCCTCAGCTGCTTTTCCAATGCGAGCCGTTGCTACAATTGGGGTAGGAGCGGCAGCTCGGGTTGTTGGCCGATCTTCACCTGGGCGACTGAGCGCAGTCTGATCCTGGTGTGGGGGGCTCGCCGACTCTCTCGGAACTTTCCCCACATCAGGCAATTTCTTCTCCCCTGCTGGGAGCTTGATCCGAGCTGGGGTGTCAGTCCTGCTTCTGGGGACAATGGGGGTTACTGCCTCACCTTCATCCGGTAGCTCTATTACGCTGCAGGCCTCCATTGTCCCTGTGGCATGGGCCTCCGCTTTTCCGAGGGGTTCCCCACCATCACAGAGGGGCCTACTCATTCTTGATCCGCCGCTGCCAGCAGCAGCGGTTCGCTTGCTTGTTTCTGAAGTTGCGCACGAGTCGTGCCTAGTGGGGTTCATTACCAATACAGTCATTGTATCGGCAGAGGAAATCCCTCGTACTCCATATCTTGGTCCCTCCAGTGTCGATCCGGTGAGAACTGAAGTGTTAGTGTCACCTGAGGGTTGGAGAGGAACCTTGACTCACGCGTTGCGGGTCTCCTCACTCTGGTTTGCCCTCGGGTTTGGGTTCCGTCCGTCCCCCACTTGAGGCCTCTCTGTCTGACTGTTTGGGATCTTCTCTTCCTTCCAGCCTGCTGGAAGTTTGACCACGTGTTGTGGCCTGCCCAAGCCTGTTGCTGTTAAGCTGCTCGGGCTCGCTCCCTGAGGTAGATACACTCGGGTTCTACTGCCTGTTGAATCGACTTCCGACATTCGGGAGTCTCCCATGCGAGGGCTTGGTGGGTGAGGTTCTTTATCAATTGACTGGTCCTGGTCAATATGAAGGCAGAAATCCTGTTCTACGCCGTGGGGTTGGTGACAAAAATTGTCCTGTGATTCGGTCTGAGTTCCTTGGGTACACAATAAAGGGGGCATATTATTCATAGTAGTACCTACATAGAGAGTATCAACGTTAAATTTCGTAATAGAATGCATACCATCTGAAATACAAGTCTTGGTCAGCTGAGGTGAATCACCTAGTTCTCGGTCGACTCCTCTTTTACCTCCTCGACCTTTGTCATAGCGGGGGTTTCCTCTTGTTTGGCCTCCTCGATTAAGGCTCTTAATCACTGCGTAAACGGTGTTGTTTTCTTCGTGAAGAGCATCGACTTCGGTCTCTTTACGCTGTGCCATTTGGATTTGTCAGTCGGGCATTTATTGTCCCAGCTGATGTGTCCCATGTTACCGCATCGGGAACACTGCCTCTCCTTCTTGAGGCGGTCGATATCCATGGGTTCGCCTTCACCCCCATAGGTGGTTCCAGTAGCATCTCTTTTATCGTTTCTGCCTCCCCCTGGGGTGCTGGCTCGTCTGGCAGGTCCTGATCTGGATCCCTCAGTTCCTGCGGGGTGGCCCCCACGTTCGGCTACTCCCACTCGGTAGTTTTCGTCCATGTGGCTGACTCTATCTTTCCATTCATAGTAGCCTTGGGGTCGACAATTGTCGCTTCCCATGATGACTTCCTTGACACGTGGTCGGATGGCCAGCTTTACCACCTCTTCCATTTGGTCCGCGTTGTCGAATCGTTTTGCTTTTATGGCCAACTTTTCGAACTTGTCGAAGAATTCCACTGCTGACTTGAACTGTGATTGTTGGAGTTTCTTCCACTCGATTCGTCGGATCTCGATTTCAGCCACCTCTTGGAATCACCTCCGTACTTCTTCCTCAAAGGTTATCCATGCAGGGTACCAATGACGGAAGTCATGGGAGTCCCAATATTTTCGTCGTTGGTCCACCCACCATTGTTTAGCGTTCCCCTTGAATAGGGATGCCGTGAACACTACTCGATTGGGTCCGTACCCATATGTGGTATTGAGGGAGAAGTACTTTGAAAATGTTTCAAAGTAAGCGTAGCAGTCACTGAAGAACTGGTTGAGGTCATAGGATTTTCCATAGAACCCATCTGGTTTTTCTACTAGCGTGGGTTTAACGTCTCCCCATGGATTAGGCTGTCCTGCCGTAATGGCCCATCCGGTTGGTGGATCAGGTGGCAGTGGTGAATTTGCAGGGCAAGAAAGTGATCGAAGATTTTGATCGCTATGCGGCGTGGGAGGTGCTGCTGGTGGGGCTGGTCCGCCACCTCCACCTCCGCCTGGTCTGCCACCTCCTCCTTCTGGTGCGGCGGGTGCTGGCCCGCTTCCTGGGCTGGAGGTGGGGGCCGTTGCAGTGCCTCCCATACTTCGGAGGTGTTGGTCTAATTGTTTTCCCCCTGCAAATAGTCCTGAAGTCTCACCAGGCCTGGTAACGGCGGTGGTGGTTCGGAGAATTCCTAGATTTGAGAAGTCCAAGTCTGAATCCTCGGTACTAGGGATTTCATAACGACCTCCTTGGAGTAGTTGTCGTTCAGGGTGTAGGATATTCCAATAGTTTATGGCAATATACTGAGTTTCTTGTGATAGTATGTCCCTCTCCAATTGGGAGCCCGGCTCCGCTTGTTGGTAGGCTCACCCTTGTGGGGAGGTGGACCAATAGGTTTCATAGGGTAGTTTGGCGTGCATATACCACCAGAATTGGTCCCAGTTCATTCTATAAAGTTCTTCGTCGGTAGGGATGGGTGCTGGACCCTTGAACGAACTCGTCGTGCCCTTTGTCGAAGGGGGGATCGTTTTCGTATTCTCCCGCATGGGTGAGCCTGTCGACTTGTATCCTGGCTCTAACCCATGGGTCCAGTCGGTTGAGATGGTCGGTTGGGTGGAAAACGGGTTCATATCATAAGAGGTAGGGATTTCCGTCGATCCATATCTGGTTCCAGTTCCAGACATATGCGAAGTATCTTCTATAACTTTCGAAGATGTCTCCGAAGTCTGCCCTGTCATAGACCCACCACTGTAGCTCTCTCTGGGATATGAAGGGGGGTTCAACGTGGAAGGTTGGTTTGGGGGTAAGGAAGGGTTCGAGCTCTGGGTCGGGCCCAACTTCGTTATATCAGGCTTGGGCCAAGTTCCATAATCGTCTGCAGATCCGGCACCTGCAGTGAGGCCAATCTGCGAGGCCTGCCTGATCGAGCTCTGTCTCGACTAGATTGGATACGTTGGTAGTTCTGGCAAGGGATTGGGCTCCTGTGAACCACCAGAGGACCGTGTCCTCATCATTGGTGTCTGCAAATAAGACCCCTCACTCCCATGGCGGGGAGTCAGCATGGGGGTGTTGCTGGAGCTCCTCTGGATCTGCCTGCTCTCCCCATGGGTCTTCGTCATCAGGATAGTAGGGGGTCTGGGCCCCTGAGGGTCTGGGAAGTGTGAGAGGGATAGGGTTTTCTTCCTCGGTGATCGTGTCGAGGGTTCCCCCGATGGAGGATGTGGACTCAACTGGTGAGATTCATGCAGTTGTGGGTTCCCCGAAGGCATCTGCCCAGGCTCTGAGGTCTGCGATGGTAATCATGTTCCTGGCTGGGGCGCGACGTTCCTCTTCTGCCCATTGTTCGAGCTCTCTGGGGTCAGGTTGGATTGGAGGGTCTGGAACGTATCAATTTGAGCTAGGGATCGGCAACGTATAACGTCGTGGAGTGTCGATTCCGTGGACTCATCGAGTCCCGTCTGCTGAGTACCAGGATAGCCAGCTGGAGGAGCTGGTCGGGGACCCAGGGCCTTGGATTCTTGGCTCTGGGGAATCCCTCGTCGTATCCCTTGACTCGCTTTCCATTGTCGTGCCGCTTCCTGCCATGACGGGCTCTCCCCAGGACTGCTGACTGTGCTCATCTGTTGACCGGGTGCTTCCATAGTCTGAACTATCTGGGCCATCGCCGTTGCTTCCCACATCGCGCCCGGCATTTGGTCATACCCACTCTCCTTCAATTGCTCCTGGTGTTGTACTTGGGAGGCATATTTCATGGCCTCAGTCGGTGAAGATTCTTCCTCTAGCGACATCAATGTAGATCCTTCAGGCTTCTCGTACATGTAGCTGCTCTCCGGGACTGTCTCCGTTGTTGTTTGGAGAGATACTGTGTCAGCTGGGGTCTTCTTCCCAAAGGGAAGACCCAATTTCTTTGCCCCTGCTGTCATTTTGCCCTTCCATGTCTTGCTGTGAGAGGACGTGGTCGTCCTCTGGGACGGGGGGCTGCGGTGTGCTTGGGCGGAGTCTGATGGGAGTGAGGTGTCTGGTTGAGGATTCATTTGAGTCTGTTACTCTCTCACTCGGGAGGGTCGGTGCTCTTTGTTGTGTTCGTTCTAGCTCGTAGGCATATAGAAGGAGCGTGGATTCGAGGGTAACCACGGAGTAATGGGCTTCGTGGTCTTCGGGGTTCATATGGTCACCGTCGTACAACGACATTGAAAGTACTAGTTACGATTAACAGTATGACTACTGTTATCGTGGAGAATCGTATCAGGAATATGTAGAACAACAGTGTGGTTATTCGTCGGTGAGGGTATGCGAAGCAAGCTTTGGCTAATTGTAACGCACTAACTTGGATTGAACAACGTTTGCCTCTAAACTGTCACTCGCGTTCGGTGATTCAGTTGTGAAGAGGGCATTGCAATCACTAGGTCAGAAACGATAGTCCTTAGTGAAGGAAGCAGGGAGTTTCTGCATGAAAAGTTAGGAGTGTATAACTTTAGCTGAAGCTGGGGTGTAAGCCCACAGCAAGGCTAGGCTTAAATACATTGTGTATATACTAATAGGTACCCATCCCAAAGCATCGCTGTCTTCTAGGCTGGTATGTTTGATATGCTAGAAGTCCCCCTGCATGTAAGAAGACTAGCGTTCGTATGGTGCTATCTTCTGGGAGGTATACGTGGCATCCTATCCGTCCTAGGGTGTGATCAGAGTCGACCTAAAGAAGCGTGACTGGCTGAAGGAGGGTCGGGCCCATGGTTGTGTGATCAGACCTATGGGCCATCAAACGGATCATGCGTGTGAACGGTGGATGATGCGTGTGATTGATCGGGTCACGAATGATGCGGATCAGGTACGAGGAATGATGACAAGAGTCGAATGATGAGTTGATGAGATAAGATAAGATAAGGTGAAAAATAGGGGTGATTCATGACAGCATGACCCTACTCACATTCTGGAAGTGTTCCCATACAAATCTTTGAATACCATCATTAGCCGGTATCATCTCGAAGGTCCCATCCAGTTTCTCATAGTGAGTTTTTGGCTCATACACTGGAACATCATTGACATATGGTAAGGTGATGTGTGGTACTTCCTTCTGTAGAATATAGGTTACATCATCATGAAATATGGGTACAGAATTTGTCCATCCCATAGGCAATGTAACTAGTCTGAGTGTGCCAAACAGTGTCTGGAACGTAGTCAAGTCTCTTGATTTCTCATCTAAGGTTTTTTCATCATATCCAATGTATAAATCTAACATAGCTCTGCAAGATCATCCAGCAAAGTGCTCAGTGAGCTCATTGGTTGCTGGTGGCACTCCTGAGTGCTTTATAGTCACTGCATTCAGGGGTTCCAAGCTATGTACAAGATGAAGACTCTTGCCATCCTTCTTGACAACACAGAACCAACACGAGCAGTACAAGGAGTTTGAGGGCTCGTACATGCCTGCTTGTATTTTTGTCCTGATGATCTTACAGACCTTGTCAAATATTCCAGGAGGTATGGGAATGTTCTTCTGAATCCAAGGGGTATGTTCCATGACAGGAATAGTCACCGGAGGAAAGTATTCTTCCTTAAAATGACCCTGCTTGCTATCATCCCAGGCAAAACCCTCATTTTGTTGACACATGAAGTGATGCATGAGTTTGCGCTCTTCTGGCCAGAGAAAGTCCTCTCCATGTACCTTATCAATTTGTTCTTTTCTCTCCAGGGTGTATCTGCCCATAGGTACAAAATCTGGAGGCCGCTCACTAAGTTGAGGCATATCCTTCAAGGGATCCCCTTGAATTTCACACTCAATCCTAAATTCCGATGGGAGTCCCCCCAGGATCAGTCTGACCTTCAGTGCAACTGGTTTATACTTTTTCATAGCAAACACATCTCTTACAGAACCCATGGGCGGAGGTGTGCAGCCCAGGTCAGCCTTATCATAAAAGTATGTCTGAACCCATCTGCTTGGGTTCAAGTACAGCATCTGTTCAGCTTCCTCATCCTTCGCCCGTCCTTCTCTCATTTCTCTGATGTTTTTAAGCACCCCAAAATATGAAGACAATGTCCCATGCACTTTTAAGTCTTCGCTGCACACCTGATCACTGGCTGCAATATATGTAGCCTGCAATTTTTCTTTTCTGAACTTCTCTGATCCCATAGATTTCACATAGCCACTGATCACAAAGTTCCCCTTATGATCAGCTTCTATGATTAAGGCCAGCTCTCCTTGATCATCAATCAAATCATTGATTACTGAAAATCCTGTTCCACCTCTCGCTGCACTACCCTATGTTGCCCATGGGGAAATGTAGGTATTATTGCACTGTGCAACGAGTTCAGGTCTTTTATCTTTATCATCTGTCCTCCATCTGCCGAGTTAAATACAGTGCTCATAGTTAGTACATCAAAGGGTCAGCCTAGCAATACATCATATGCCGGATCCCTTATTATGTGTACTTGCAGATACATGGTAATATCCCCGAATAAGAATGGCACATTCTTTGCCATCCCTAGTGACTTCTCGACTTGTTTATTTGTGGATTGCATGTTGATGACCTTGTCAGGGTCATATATCAATCCTAATCTATCTGCAACATGTCCAGACATTGAGACGATCTGCAAGCCAGTATTATACAAGCTTTCCAACTTCTCCATTCCATTTATGAGAGGGAAGACAGATCTCAATGCATGGGAGTCTTTAGCCACATATACAGGCTTTGGATCTTCCCCATGCTCTGCGGTCTCATTCATATATTGCAGAAACAGATCCTGCCAGATTAGTGAGCCCACAGGCACACCATCTTTTGTCTCCATTGTTAACATGAAATTGCCAGTGTAGGGCAAGTCCAAGATGTGAATTGCACTCTCTGGTAACGTTTCCTTGCTTTCAGCTTCAATTTGTGTAAAGGGGAATATATCCTCCTTTACCTCTTCTTCATCATCTCCTTTGTCCTCATCAGGCCCCTCACCCAGAAAATATTCAAATTGTGGTTTCCCATTCTTTCCTTTCTTCCCAAGTTGGATCTGTTTTAGAGTGAGCTCACTCTTTACATCCTCTCGCAACTTGGATAAGGAGAGAAGTTCTCCCACTGTAATTGGAACTTCCATGTTCATGACACATTCCAAGATCTCAGCTTGGTCACCTCACTCCTGGATAGGTGCCTTGATTTTATAGGCAGGTTCCCATGAGTCCATGGGGTAAGACGTCATCACTGTCTTATTATTTTTCTTGTTCTGAGGACCTCTCTCACCTCCAGTATTGGTCACATCTCTCGCATTCGCAAATTCCTTCAGAACATGGGGGACTACCACCTGTGGGGTAGTGTTATGGATCTGCCGAAATCCGGAGATGCGAGCATGAGGTGAGGAGTGATGATCGAAGTGAGGTATGATTAATTAGAAATGATGTATGTCGTTAGGGAATATAATGGATTCCGGCAAGGGTTCGTGAGGAGACCTGAGAGGTCCAGTTTACGAAATAAAGGAAATCAGTAAGCACGAAGCAATTACTGAGGGAAGTGGCCGGTAAGCGTGGAGCAATTACCGATATAGAAAGCCTGTAAGCGCGAAACTATTACGGGCCATGGGTGAAGGCAAGCACTAAGCGTAACCTTCGGGTTGGTGTCAGAAAGTGCTAGGCATATCCAACGAGTTGTTCAGCAAGCGCTAGGCATAACTGAGGGTTCACACAGTGAAGGTGTCCTTAAAGTAGTAGATTGGTAAAAGCTTCTTAATACAATGTTATCTACAAGTTTATATACTAAGGACAGGTTCGAGTCATTATTATTCTACAATGCTCCATAATATTCTAGTATTAGTAAGAAGAATAGAGAAAGTAAGAGAAAATAAGAGAAAGTACGAGCGAGTCACTACTAGGGCTGAGAAGGCTGAGTACGGGCATGTGTTGACTCATGCACCAAATTAGTGGATACCCAATATCCATAACAGCCCCCCCAGTCTACATATGCCTGAACGAGGCAAAGGGAAAGAAAAATTGAAGAATTAGATAGAGCAAACCTTGTAGATTTGAATGTTCCTTGGTTTGCCAGTCACAACTGTAACTTCGAGCACATGGGAGTAAATTTTATCCCACACCCTGCACATATGGAGGGCAAGGTTCATTAAATTCAGGAATCTCATTGCGTGCAGACTTCTCGTTACTAGATGAGTCGAGGATTAGGTTGAAATTCACATTTCGGGCTTGATCTGGCACTGCAGGTGAATCCATGGATGAATGCCCTGAGTCAACCTTTATAGTAACTTCAAAATGGTTTCTGTTGCCAGAGGCATCAAAATGTCGCTCGGGTGATATGTGATTAGAGGAAACCCAAGACTGCATGTGATGAAGTTGGAAATCGGCATGTGCTGGTTCCTGAGAACCTTTTCCAAAACAGGGATGATATTGATGATGGGCCCCTTTATATAGCCGTCTTGTCAATTCCACCATTAATCCATTCACTCTCAGGATTGCATCTAATTTCTGGCCTTGATTGAATGTTTCTTGGTTCTTTCCTTCATCGATATCCAATGTAATCCTAATCTGGACCTCACATCGCATGTTTAAACCTGGATCCCAAATCTGATCTTCAAGTCCCCTTATTGGCCCGACATGCTGGTTTCCTTCTGACTCACATATTTGCTACTTGTGGAAGCTGCTTTTTCCACAATTATCCTTCTTGCTTTCGATTCCGATGTCTTGTCATTATGTTGTTCGACTATGCCATCACATGGATCAATATCTGGCAGCGCAACACCTGAATGCATGAACAGGCTCGCTTGAGCATTTTCGGAAGCGAGAGTTGGAAGGATGGTGACAGGAATGACAATAATGGAACCGGGTGCGTCATTTGAACAGGCTTTCAGTTGAGTATTCTGACTTAATTGATCATATTCAGTTTTCTCCAGAAACCTGTGCTGCAAAGATACTGCACCAAAATCCGTACCTGGTGTGGTATCTTCAAGCCGTTCAGTTGACTCCTGTCCAGTTACCAAGACTTCTGAGAATGCTGCTTCTGGCTCCCTGCGCATTTTCTGTTCTCTTTCTAAAGCCCATCTCATTTTTCGACTTAGCCTCTTCTCTTTTCCGGCTCAGGCTACAATGAGTTTCCCCTCCATGGAATCGACTATCTGGCACACGGGTTTCGGTGTTTTCGGTGCCATACAGTTCTGTTCTTTCATAGCATCCCTCTCACTCTGCTGTGCTCGAGTCGTATCAGCTTCTGGAAGTATGTACTGGTTTCGTTCTTCTTTTGATGGTTTGAATCCGGCAGCAAGATGAGGTTTCGACACGGTAATGCTCATGGGAACATTTGTTGAACATATGAGGGAGGTATCAAGAGATCCATTACTGGGGCCTGTAGGTGGCCGGAAATTAGGTGTAGGAGGCAGGTGAGTTGGGATTGCGTTGCATGATTTCGCTGACTGACTGTCATTTTGCAGTTCTGTATGCAGCTGAGAATCATGATGTGCAGTTGCCGGCTTGATTTCCATGGCAGCTACTGTGGCGAGGTTGCAAGGACCAGAGGTGTGGCTTGCAGCTGATTGAAGGTGTGCTGATGCTGACTTACTCGAAGTAACAAATTGATTGTCTTCGGTTTGGAGATTTCATCCTGTATATCTCAGAGAGGAAGGCACATCCTCCAGATTACAGTTGCTAGTATTATGACGATTGGAAGTCTCATTGCCGAGCTCAGGAATGTTGGCATATTCATGATTATGCTGGGATTGAGGCCGTCCTTCGTCCCTCATTATGTCCTTGAATGAAACGTCTCCTGGCTCATCGATACGGTTCATAGTTGAACGGGAGTTCGCAGTTTGACCCGTAGGTGTCGATATTTTCAGTATGGTATGGTTATCATCCTTTGTAGCTTCCGTCTCACTCTTCTGTGCCTGAGCCGCAATTCCTTCTGGAAATATACACTGATTCACTCTCCCTTTCGACGGCTTCAGACCAATGGCAGAAGGGACCTTCAGCATGGGAGGAGGTGTCGAAGTCATGAGGGATATTTCAAGAGGTCTGTTAGCAAGACCTTCCTGTGGCTGAGGTTTCATAGGCAAGAGAGTCATATTCATATCATGTACATTTCCTGGGTGACCATCATCTCTTCGCAGTTCTGTGTATAAGTGAGATTTGTGATGAGTGACTTTTGGCTTTGTTTCATTTGCGTCCATTGCATTAAAGTTGCAAGGACCAACAGTATGGTTCGCAGGTCATTGGACGTATGCAGATGAAAGGGTCAGAGCTGACTTGTCTGAAGTTACGAATCGATTGCCTCCAGTTTGAAGACTTGGCCCTGTGTATTGCCAAGAGGAAGGCAAATCCTTCGATTCTAGGCTATCACTATTATGGTCACCAGAAGTCTTGTCATTGAAGTTGGGATCGCTAGCTGATCATTGAGATTGTGACTGTTGTTTACCTTCGGTCTCGCCCTTCATGGATATATCGCAAGGACCATCCAGGAATCCCACTTCCGATGTCTTCACTGATGGTAGAACAGGGCTAGGCTTGAGTGAGAATAAGGATTCGCTTGCTTTGCTTCGAGGGTGATATCCAATGGCTGAGTAATTTCGCTGTTCTGATTTATCTGCTATTGTCTGCATTGAGTGCATCAGCTTTTGGCCATGCTCTCTCCATTCATCAAGTGTGGGCCAAGGCTTGCCGGTTTCCCAATCATGCTGATTAACCATTTCTGCCAGGAAATGCTCAACAGATGCCCGATAACAAAGGGCATACAATTCAAAGTCATTCTCTGTCATAAAAAGGTGGATATCCTGGCCCCAAGTAGGACAATTAAGATCTATCTTGTGTATAACAAGTGAACGGCTGGCTTCCCGCTTTCGCCGTTGTAGTGCAGCTTGTAACCGGGAGAAGATTGATGAGTTGATGCGCACTCCCAGGTCGCCGTTTGATATATGAACGGCCCATGTCTGTCTCAATAGCCTTTCTAGGAGTTCGAACTCATATCGGAATGTCTTCTCATACTGGTCACAAGTGACTTCTAGTGCATGACTAGGTCCGAGGTCAACATTCAAGCTGCTCTTCAGTATTCTCAGAGCTCGCCTTTTGCGAGATACGAGTGCTGGAGATCGTGTAAGCTCAAAAGATGGGATGGATGTGCAGATAGTGTTTCGCATATTAACAGGGAATTCTTCATCGTTGTGAAAGGTTCCATATGAAAATGGTCCATCGAAAGGATGAAGCTTTATTTGGAGAGTACTGTATTCTTCATCTGAGTGTCGCAACTGCTTCTTTCTGGTATTAGTCCGACTGATGTGCAAACCGTTCAAAGAGCTGCAAGTATGCCTTTCCCAAGAGGAGGGAGTAAACAGTTCCTGATGGCGAGTCATGTTGTGGAAAGTGCAGGCATGGCAAGAATGACATTTCCCACTGGGGTCAGGGCTGAATGAAGATTTTGGCCAGGTCATTTCAGAACAACTGTTTTAGCCAAAGGGGATGAATACAAAGTGGTACAAGCTACATTGCTTCGCAAGCAATGAGGTATAACAAATGGGAACCTATACTCAGTTCCCAATGTGTCCACCAATGTTATGGATCTGCCGAAATCCGGAGATGCAAGCACGAGGCGAGGAGTGATGATCGAAGTGAGGTATGATTAATTAGAAATGATGTATGTCGTTAGGGAATATAATGGATTCTGGTGAGGGTTCGTGAGGAGACCTGAGAGGTCCAGTTTACGAAATAAAGGAAATCAGTAAGCACGAAGCAATTACTGAGGGAAGTGGCCGGTAAGCATGGAGCAATTACCGATATAGAAAGCCTGTAAGCGCGAAGCTATTACGGGCCATGGGTGAAGGCAAGCACTAAGCGTAACCTTCAGGTTGGTGTCAGAAAGTGCTAGGCGTATCCAACGAGTTGTTCAGCAAGCGCTAGGCATAACTGAGGGTTCACACAGTGAAGGTGTCTTTAAAGTAGTAGATTGGTAAAAGCTTCTTAATACAATGTTATCTACAAGTTTATATACTAAGGACAGGTTCGAGTCATTATTATTCTACAATGCTCCATAATATTCTAGTATTAGTAAGAAGAATAGAGAAAGTAAGAGAAAATAAGAGAAAGTACGAGCGAGTCACTACTAGGGCTGAGAAGGCTGAGTATGGGCATGTGTTGACTCATGCACCAAATTAGTGGATACCCAATATCCATAACAGGTAGGTATGAACTTGGGTGTGGGGTCTATCTGCATTTGCTTATTTTTCACAACTGGCTCATTGTCTTCAGAGTCTGCTCGCTCAACTGACTGCTCTCTCCAGCTCTCCCTAACTCTGGTTTTCTTTTGGTTTTGGTTTGCATCCTCCAGGGGTGATGGTGAACCTGACCTGGCCACTCCACTAGTCTTATGGTTCCTCCTGCCTGCCTTCATTGAACGCTTAGAAAAACCCTGCTCCCTTTCTTCATCGGTGGGCATTTCTCGTTCTGGATCTTCTAAGCTAGGGCCTCTGCCTCATGTCCTTAACCCTCCTGCTGCACTGGTCTGCGAGTGTAGTGCATACACTTCACACTCTAAGTCCTGCTTTTCTTGGAGAAGGACAGCCAGTGAGCCTGACATGTTAAGCAGACCAGGCATTGCAGAACCCGACATTAGCACATTCTGGCTCAGATTCTTCAATGTGTCCAGTCGAGCATAATACTCATCAATTCTATTCTTGACATAGGGGTCCCTTATCTCCTTGAGGATGGTCCCTCTGCCCAGCAGGTGAGCTCTACCATTCACAAGGACTATCTTTCCTGAATTCACATAGTCCATTTTCATAGGGCACTCAGCAGATACATGCCCATCTTTTTCCCCACAGAACCAACCATCTAGTGAGCTCGCCCTGGAATTACCTGACCTTGGGAGACTCCCAAACCCCAGATTTGGAGTGCACACACTAAACTGTGGCTGCTGATTCAAGTGCTGCACCTGGTTCTGCATTTGTGACTGCTGATTTTGTAAGAAGCTCATCATGCCTCTCTGCTGCTCAACAAAGGCTTTCTCTAGGGCCGCAATCTGCTGGTTTCCCTGCTGAGCTTGCTGCTCAAAGATATCTTTCATTGACGCCAAGAACCCTCCAAAGTCTTCTTGTTTTATTGCTGGCTCAGGTGACACACTATTTCTCGTACCTGGGCAAGCTCCATACATTTTCCTCGAGGCCGATACAGCTATATCTAGCCTGCAGGCTTTGTTTCTTTTTTGATCCATCGAGGAGAATACTCCTTGCAGGACATCAAGCCCACTGGCTATAACCTCTTCCAAAGTATATGGGTTTACCAGGTCTCTCTTAGTTTTCCCCACCGGTAGAGGCAACTGTTCCAATCTAATTTTGATAGACTGGTACAATTCCTCCGACATTGGTGTAAGAAAGTGGTTGATGAGTTCTCTATTTGACAGTACTTTATCTTTTGTAAGCATAGATGCCAGTACTTGGAATTCTCTCTTGAATGACATGAAGTCAGCTTTTTCTTGAATGGGTGAAAGATTACATCTTCGGACCAATTGCTTTAGTTCCTGCACAGCATCTCAGTCCCCAGCAACTGTGCCATCATAGCTACCCATGACTTCTTCTTTAAAAGCATCATAGTTCCCAGTAGCATAGTGATCAAGGACCTTCCATTGCTTGGCGGTCTTGATGTCAGTATACATGGTCACATAATGCTTCTTCTCTTTATCATCAGTAATGGCACATTTGGAAAATAAATCTTCCAGATGCTCAAAGAATCTCTCAAGCTCTTCAGGGTCTGTCAAGCTATCAAAAACTGGCATGGCCTTTTCATTCAGGCCAGGCATAGACTGAGCCATAGTGACTGCAGTATGAAATGGGGGAATAATTAAATTTGGATTGTAATTTTGGTGTGAGCTCGGTAGAGCTCTAATCATACCATAAGGTCCAGGAATACTAGAACTACAAGCTCTATGATGAGTAGCTGTTACTGGAGCAGGGATATTTTCTGCACACGCTGAGGGCACTTGCTGCGATGGGCCAGCCTGACCAGTTCTTCCTCTCTTGGGTACCTGTTCCACGAGCTGGAACAGGAAGAGGGGTGGAACAGTTAGTCTGCTCGCTGATTTTTGTGCTCTAGTTACAGGGTCCTGACTTTGAGAAGGTCCTGGTTGTCTTGGTTTACGGGATGATGGTTTTCTCTGTGAGGGGTTATCTTGGTTGCCAGCAGTCCTTGGGTTAGAAGGGCCAATGGATTTGCTCCTTGAGAAGGAAATCTTCAATAAGCTTAGTAGCTAGTTACACTGAAGTGTAAAGATTCTCCACAAAACTTGAAGTAAGATCCTTTCACAGTTGAAACTCTCTCTTGCAGTGGGCTCCAAATGAAGAGGCTGGCTGTGGGCACCTGTGGAATAGTGAGCAGGCTAAAAGGCAAACCTCAAAAACCCACATGCACACTCACACAACTACACAAACTACAATCACCCTTGTAAGTTCTAGGGGGAGTGATTATTTCTAATGTGATCCAACTATACTTCAATATCTCAAAGAGTTTCTCTTATTCTCGATGCTCTTAGCAAAGCTAAGCTTTCTCTAATGAGTTCCTAAGTCTAGGAACTTTTACAGGAAGGTTGTTCACTGGTGCGATGCAACCTTCAAGGCAGATTCAAGTTAAGATATACAAGGGACACTGATCCCGACAGAAACAGAGATGATACACATTGAAACAATAGTGAGCTCACTAAAAGAACACCACAGGCAAGCTCTGACTTAGCCTGCTCACTACACAACTGTATGTAGGGGCTCTCCAACTGACTCCAGCAGGTTATCTCGACTCAAGAACACTTCAGAAGTGCTCAGAAACAGATTCAGAAACGGAACTTTGAACAGAACTGACACGGAACAGACTGAAACAGAACAGAACAGATCAGAACAGATCAGATCTCATATTTCCACTTCAACACATTCTCTGAACAGACTTATTGCACTTAACAGAACAGAAACAGTGTCACTGATTTGTATTCACTCTGACTAAGTTCTCAAAAGTCTTATCAAAAGGGTATCTCATATTTCTCTGAGTGAGCTCACTAATTCTATGCAAAGCTCGAAGTCACAAACTGATCCTTTGTCACAATACTGCCTTCAACGCGTGCACGGAAACTCGGGGGCTTGAAACTTGGCTTCTATCTACTGGAACCGTCCTACTTGTACTACAGGGAATTTAGAATTACAAATGTCACACAGTACCCAGACCCCTATGTGCATAGTACATTGCCACCACTGCCTTACTGAGCATCCAAGTTGGACTTCCCAGTTTTAGTCTCATTTCTATAGTGAGCTCACTAAACATGTGCCAAGGGGTGCTCTTCCGACACCTGCAGGCTTGTTCTCTGATGACCAACAGGTCTAGGTGTACAGAACTATCACTTCTGACATATGTCCTTCAGTACTTCTTTCTTGGATTCACAGAGGCTTCTCGTAGACATGGCAACAAGTGAGTCTTCAAACAATGGGACTCTGGACAATGGAATGCAGGCTCGCGGCCTTTGGCTGAACCCCACTGTCCAAGTTTGTGCCAGTGATATCTGTCATCTCGCGTAAGGATTTCCTCGGATTTTCAGGTACAGCACATCATAGTTAGTGAGCGCACTAAATACTTTCAATGTTAATGCAACCTTTGAAGTGTCATCCAACTCCCATGAGCATGCTTGTAAGTTAGAGCATAGTACACTGGGTATAGGGTTCGGCCTTCTCATCACACATGCCCATCAGGTACAGTGCTGTGACTAAGTCCTGTTTAGAATCCCGTTGCTTCTTATGCCATAAGTTATATTCCGCATCATTGCACCATGTAGCGTTAGTGTCGATGTGTCATTTTAGTCTGCTCACTCACTATATCTCTGTGTGCATGTAAAACACACTAGATTGCAAAATTCCATGAGTAAGTAGGCTGCAGTCGCAACAATGGTGTATGCAATGCCTGTCATATGAGTGGGTAACTAGACTTAGGTAGTTGTGGAGTGAAGAGCTTTGAGTTGGGTAGATTAAACCTTAGCCGAAGCTGGGGTTTAGGCCAGCTGAGGCTCTACTTAAATATATGTTGAGTATGCTAATAATAGACTACTGTTGTTCGGTAACCATGTGTGTAACAAAGGGAATTGTACAATGTCCATGTGTCACAGCAACAATGTGTAGGTCATGTGTTGACAATGTGGGAACAGTCCTAGCACTTGAATGCACTGATAAGATAAAGACCAGCGCTGAAAAGATAAAATAGAAAAATCATAACATTACCCCCTCCTTAAGACTCATTTGTCCTGAATGATTTGTCAGACTCATACTCTTCCACTTCAGATTCAGTGTCCCAATTTTTGTAAATTTTCTCCTGGTTTTTGAGTTCTCCTTCTGCT